AGTTCAGGTCAGGTGTCTCACTAGAGTACCCGGACAGATTCAACACCAGATGCAGCGCTGAGAATGGTTGTGAGGACGGTAATAAAGAGAAGGGGTGGCGTGATGTCGAAGAGGATATCATTATAATGCTGAAGAACTCTGAAAGGAAAATTCAATTAGATGGAAATGATAGGCAACTTGATATATAATTTGGGGAGTTGGGTTTGGTATTCTGGAATGTCAACTACAGCAGACTGAGAAAACAATAAGACAGAAAGTAATACACATGTCGAGACAAAAGCAGAATTCTCAGAAGTACTAGTGAAAAAAGGCGGTATAAAACAGAAACCAGGCCTTGCTGGGCGTCGGGAGAAAGAAGGAGGAAGATTAGCTTCATTCAGACACGCTGAGTGACATAGATGGAAAAAGGAGGAGGAGGGAGAATACCTGAGAATTGCTTTCTTCCCTAATCAATACCAGTTCATGAAGAAGCTATTTGAGCAGTGTAAGAGTGGCGAGCTAAAGGTACTTCAAGAAGCAACTGAAGAGCACATATTCTAACGAATACTGTAATATACCAATGCTTGACATGGCTGGACTAGTAAGGCCGACACGATCGGGCATAATGTTCGATACAGCAGGACCAAAACGAGCAGAGATGGAAAGGTAGATCAGGAAAGCGAGACCTGCTTGTGCCACATGCCCGAATGAAGTACAATACAAAGTGTACAAGAAGTATAGCAAGCCAATGAATTTTCTCTGTTTTCATATAACAGAGCAGATGGTGTATGTATCTCCAAAAATGAACATTTGAGTACTCTTAAAGATTTTATTATGGTGTGGCTGGACTTTGCAAATACATATGAGTGGGTTCTGCATGCACTGATGAAATACACCATGAATCTATTTTGGGTTCCTAAGAAGGTGAAGAATTTCAACGTGGAGTATTACAGGGATTTCCAAATAAAATTCTCGAGATTACACTAGAAAGTGGGGGACATTGAATTTGGATTTCCATTTGGGTGTACTATTTCTCCTATCATGTTCATTATTGTAATGGAGGTCATCAGAGCAGCAGAAAAGGCTGGCAGGAATAGCAATTAATGAAGAAGAGCTTCCACCAGCTTTCATGGATGAAGTGACACTTCTTAATCTAATTACTCAAGCATCTGATGGACTGGGTTAGGATAAAGTTCAAAAGCAAGAAGTCTGGTTGTCAAGCAGGGGAATCTGATCAATACTTATTTTATGTCATGCAGTAAGAAGATTCCATCAAGCCAGGAGCAGCCTGTGAACATTGGTATACAATAGAGCTGAGAGAGACCAGGAGGTGGCTAAGAGGTGATGGAAGGTTTGGAACTAATTGAAAAGTGGGATCTATTAGGTAAGTTGAAGCTCTAGTGTTTGCAGTTTGGCCTCATGTGGCTGCTAATCGTGTATCAGATGGCCATTAGCCATGTAGAGGTAATGGAGCATCAGTTGAACAAGTACGTGAAGATATGGTTGGGAGTTCTAAATACTTTGAATACCATTGCCATTCAAATTTGGTGCACAAAGTTAGTTCTGCCAGTAAGATATATATAATGGAGCAAAAGCAAGATCCTTCATGACCTTAGTGACTAAATATCTAGCGGTTAAAAACACCTAACCTGATGTCGGATCCAACAAGAAGTCGACAGCTGAGAAAGCTGTTAATGAAGCAGAGTCAAGGTTCAAGCAAAATGAAATTTCTGGAGCTGCTCAAGTAAGGTACCAAGGATTGGGATGGACAAGTCACAAGGTGTAGACATCTGCCAACAACACAGATCAAAGAGAGCTGGTTTCTTTGGAAATATGGAAAGCTAAAGAGGAGAAGACTAGCCACAGTGGTTTGATAAGCAAAGAAAGGCGCATGGGTGAGATGGGAAGAGTATAAAACAATGAAATGTGTTGTGGAAGATTAAGCTTCTGGAACTTCATTTCTATGGAGGTCCACTCATGATTTGTTTCCCACACCAGCCAACCTTATCATCTGGTATGATAAGGTAGACTGTTGCCATGCATGTAGTGTGAAGGGAAGCTTGCAACACATTCTGAGTTCCTCTGTCCTTGTTAGCAGCATGTACACCTCTTTCCACAATAATGTACTCCAGGTTCCTGCTCATTTGTCCTTGTTAGCAGCATGTACACCTCTTGCCACAATAATGTACTCCAGGTTCCTGCTCATTTGTCCTTGTTAGCAGCATGTACACCTCTTGCCACAATAATGTACTCCAGGTTCCTGCTCATTTGTCCTTGTTAGCAGCATGTACACCTCTTGCCACAATAATGTACTCCAGGTTCCTGCTCATTTGTCCTTGTTAGCAGCATGTACACCTCTTGCCACAATAATGTACTCCAGGTTCCTGCTCATTTGTCCTTGTTAGCAGCATGTACACCTCTTGCCACAATAATGTACTCCATATGATAGACAAGGCAGTTGAAGAGAGAATGCAAAAGGTTAACATAGCAACTAACTAGTCAAAGACAGTTCATCACCTTCATTAAAAAGAGCTTTAGGTCAGGGTCAGGTAGCAACTCACCTAGAAGTAGCATACTCTTTATCGCAAATGATTGGTAGGTAATAGTAAACACCAAAGAGAAATTTCCAGCTGAGATTGTCATCTGGTCAGCTGTTGGAAGGCTGGTGATCATTGGCAAGCTGACATAATCCTGAGAGGACAATATTCAAGAAGCTCATGAATGGAACTTTAAGAATGCAGAGCTTAGATCTGATGGTGCCGGCTGAAGCATCCGATTCAAGTTCGTCGTGGATATGGGCGAAGTATCTTCAGAAGAGTAGGTGGATGACAGTGTAGTAAACGCAGTGGTAATCATCTGATCAGTATAAGCCCACGAGGGGGAGGTGGTGTAGGGAATGGTGCCAGCTGACCAATCCGAAGGAGTAATGATTTGTAAGGGGCCAAAACTTCCATGGATAGATGGCACCCGGCTGATGATCCCATTGGTGGAGGCATTGGAAGCATCCAATATCTCAAGCTTGTGTGTTTTGCAATTTTTGGACAGTAAACACGTGTGTAGGGTTTTGGTAGGGCTTATTTCAGTCGTGCAATAGTACTTCTAACGTTACACTCTTATTTTTCATACAGATAGAACAATAAAAATAATACTTACCACGTGTTGCAGTTTTTCTTCAACTTTTGTCCAACGTTGTAGTGAACGCCATCTTGGTAACAATCTGAAATCGAACAAAAACACGGTCCTATAAACGATAGATTACTGTCAAGGTTAGTAGCCAATACGATCATCTACGTCGAGTTATTGGTTGATAACTTACTTTTATAACTAGATACCAAGTACTGACCAGACCTCAGTCAAACGAATAACGCTTTAAGACTTCCTTCAGTAATACACAAGATTGAGTGCCGGTTATTACCAACACAAAAATAACTCCTAGTTCCCAGGACTTTTCTGAAGACGGCAGCACTATCAGCCGAAATGTAGGTTAAAACTAATTAGAAACAATAATCTAATTGTATATACAAAATACAATTCGGAGCTTCATCACGTCGTTACAGTACATGTCCTGTCGACAATAGCCCAGTTCCTGGCATCTTAGATTAATGACAGTGAAAGAAGTAAACCTGCTCTACAATCAAAGTCTTTTCTCTGCTGGACAGGGCGTGGTCTAGAGATGAACGTGAATGTGTCTCGTTACCGCAAAATCGAACTATGAACTTTTAGGTCGTTCGTATGTTCTAAATATGATGGCTATATTTTACTATTCCGTAAGAGTAGCTCAAGAGTTGGCGGTGGGTGATGTTGGCTAGCTGCCTTCCTTTTATTATATCAGTTCAGGAGTAGATAAGGGTAGCGCTGATAATCGTTTGATATCTTTGTGCGAATATTCGAAATGAACTAATTTTTTCAGGCTACAAAAGTATAAAAAAAATTATAAATTACTCATAGTAGACTAACCAGCATAACAACGGAATAAAATATGGAACTGATTTTCTTCAGTCCCTCATGAAATACGGCCAATTTTAATCTCACTTTTAGATCATGCCAGAGATAAAGAATATAACGATGAATTGGAATAATTCTAAAATAATAGGACATGTGAAAAGAAATAGATAAAAAGGTATTCCACTACACTTAACTGATAATACAGTCAATCACTCTAGCATAGAAGTCAGCAAAACCAGGGTACTCCAATCGAAATAGTTAAATAAACGTTCATAAGGCCTAATTGTTTGTTTGTTTGTTTTGAATTTCGCGCAAAGCTACACGAGGGTTATCTGCGCTAGCCGTCCCTAATTTAGTAGTGTAAGACTAGAGGGAAGGCAGCTAGTCATCACCACCCACCGCCAACTCGTGGGCTACTCTTTTACCAGCGAATAGTGGGATTGACCGTCACATTATAACGCCCCCACGGCTGACAGGGCGAGCATGTTTGTTGGGAGAGGGATTCGAACCCGCGACCCTCAAATTGCCAGTCGAGCACCCTAACCACCTGGCCATGCCGGGCCGAAGGCCTAATAGGCGAAGCAGGAAAACAATAAAAAATCAAGTTTACTTGTCATCACCAGGTGCAACTTATGGGTGAGTGTTGGAGAATTAAATCTAAGTGAACCAATCATAAATCAGCTGAAATGCCATTGGTGTAAAATTATGGTAGGGAGCCAGGTTATTAGTTATATAGAGGGGTTATTTCTTTCTTATCTATAGATTTTCGTTGATTTTTTTTCTGTTGCAGCTGTTGTTTTCGTTAGAAATCACGTGGTATGAATGAGTGGAAATATGACCAGTCAAGTTTATGATGAAAGGCGAGAAAAATGGAATATTGTGATCGTTTATGCTGGTAATAAGTTTTCCCTGTTTCACCTATACAACTTGCTTTACAGTCCTGGCATTTATGTTCATAAACAAAACACATGGTTGTTATAGCTGTTTGAAGAACAAGCATTTTTAATATCTTACTCAAGTGGTTGTTACTAGCTGTCAAGTAACAACCACTTGAGTAAGATATTAAAAATGTTTGTTCTTCAGACAGCTATAACAACCACTTGAGTAAGATATTAAAAAATGCTTGTTCTTCAAACAGCTAGTAACAACCACTTGAGTAAGATATTAAAAAATGCTTGTTCTTCAGACAGCTAGTAACAACCACTTGAGTAAGATATTAAAAAATGTTTGTTCTTCAGTGTCTGAAGAACAAACATTTTTTAATATCTTACTCAAG